ATCTCAACATACTTGATTTAAAGTATCTAGAAGATTAGGATTCCTTCTTGAAAGTGGATGCCTGGAAAACTGTCAAAATAGTAGTTCACGCGTCTTCATCGGATCCAAAGCTGTTTCCGAGGGTAACTTTCCTTTAGCTTGTCTTACCCCAAATAACGCGGATTCCACATTGCTAACACACCCTTGTCAGCAGTTTCATTGTCCTGATGAAAATGATATTTTCTTCTTCTCACTGATTTTGACAGCTAGTAAATTAAGGATACTCAAGCCATATTTGCCCTCTTTTCGAGGTAATCAATTTATAGAATCCTTAAACACGATGGCTGTGACCTTTCAGGCCGATGCAATCGACTCCTGTTTCTTGGAACTTTGCACTCTGTTTCGACTGCTTCATAAAATCTGTCAAATCCTTATTAAACTGGTCCAAACAATGTTGTCGTTTATGCATCTGCATTTGATTGACATTCATGAACTCTGGCACTACCCTGAAGAAAGTTTTCTGATTCAAAATGTTTCTTGAATCTCAATAGTTCTCCTATGTCAAAAAACAACTTCTAAAGAATCTCCATAAACTAAAAATCGGGTGCGTCGAATGCGAGTTCGATGCCAATTCAGTGGTAAGATTCACGGATGACTGTACCAATTTTTCACCCTCAATCCGGTCCGAAGACACTATAGGATTATTTTGCTATAATACTCAAATTCAGCGCCTCAAATTACCTTAGCTTCACTCACATGTAGCCATCGATAATAAAAATTTATTTTTAGTACCTTAAAGTCACAAAAAACGGATAGTTCTGCAATTAATTGCTAAATAATTAGACCTAAATGATAAACGGGACAAGATTCATGTGAAACGACTTTGGATCCGGTTTTAGTGTCAATAAAGGTCATTTGAATCACATTTAAAGAATTTTAATCTTTGGTTACCATGTATTGTTACAAAAAAGCCAAAAAATGGGTCATTTGGGAGAGTGAGTCGAACCATACTTATAATACGTTTATTGGGTCGCTAAAGCCGAATTCAGGGCCCATTTAGTCCGAAAATGCCTCGTTTTCAAGTTACTGGAAAGAATTCTACTTTGTCAACAAAAGACTGATAAAAAATCGCCAAAAACTGTTGCGCGTCTCTGATCAAGGTGGAAGCTTATTTTCTAGGTAAATTATAACGGATATTCGGAATTCGATGTCAATTTAGTGCTAAGATTAAAGGGTAGCCCCAGATAACTAGTTTTTTACCAATTTTTCACGCCAAATCCGGTCTGTTGACAATTTAAAACTGTTTCAAAATGATACTCATATTCAACGCCCCAGATTACCTTATAAAACAAAGCTTTTAGCTTCTTAAAGTGGAAAAATCGCAAACTTTTGCAATTTTCACTAAATAATTAGATCTATATGACAAACGGGATTATATATGACTTTGTTAACTTGAGTAGAACTCTCCCAGTCAAGGTTTCTCAAGCGGTGGTTCGTAATGGCGGAATTTGGCAGCAATATTGCAACACCGTCGCTACAACAATCCGGCAAGAGTTCTACTTCGGCGAAGCAAGCACACTGAGACCTTTTTGAGAATGCACTGGAAAGAACGAGAGTGACTTCTGCAGATATAAAAAGGTCGTAGACACGGAAATACGAGTACAGTCGAACGCGCTTCGTGAGCCGTACGCATGTCGAACGTGGATTTAAATAAATATAATAATATTCTATAAATTTAAGATGGATAGTTGTTTAAAAACGGACAGTTTTGTGAACTCTGATGCAAAGCCAGATGAACAATCAAATAGTGCTTCTTCTTCGGTTCCCGATTTGGGTCCAACAGGGTGGCGATATTGAAAGTTATAGTGAGGTACCTTCTCGCCAGAATAAAACTAATGAGAAAATAGACAAGCATGGTAGAGGAGAAAAAAAGAATCGAACATAAGACTATTCAGACTAGTCAGAACCTATACCGCTTTGTGTAATTTGTAATGAAGTCCTGGTCGACAGTAGTTTAAAACCATCGCTTCTTCGTCTGCACATTGAGACAAGACATCCGGATTACAAAGGTAAACCTATTGAATATTTTAAAAGGAAATTGGAATGTAATAAGAATTGTAGTGTTTCTTTTTTCCTGTCGACTTTCAACGCAGATAGTAAAATGGCTCTTGAAGCATAATTTCGAATTAGTTACACAATCGCAAGATCGGGAAAAGCTCATAAGTAGTACAAAATTTGATCGGACCTTGTGCTAACACACATCGCAATGTGTATGCTTGGAGAAAAAGCGGCAAAAAATTTACTTTGTGCTATTATCAAACGGGGAATTAGCGATTTGGCGAACAGTGTTGAAAGTGAATTTTTGAAAAGCATAAAATTGAATTATTTCGCTATTCAGTTTGACGAGTCGACCGATGTAACAAACTGTGCAATACTGCTCGTGTATGTTAGATATAAGAATTCCATTCAAGAAAATGTGTTATTTGCAAAACCACTTTAAACTTATCCGACTGGTACAGCAATTTTTAATCCGATCAATGACTATTCTGAAAAACACGATACCAACTGGTCATTTTGCTTAGGTGTATGCACAGATGGTGCAAAATCAGTGGCATGAATGAAAAAGATCAACGAAAATTTAGAATGGACTCACTGCTGTATTCATAGGCAAGCATTGACATGTAAGGGTATTCCTGCAGAGTTAGCCAGTACTATAAACGAAGCTGTAAAAGTTGTGAATTTCATACAGTCTCATGCTACAAATTTTCGTCTATTCCGTGAACTTTGTGAGAACTTGGGGAAGCCTCCATGTCTCTTCATTACTTCAACCAGAAGTTGGGTGACTTTCTCGTGGCAAAGTTTTGACCCGCTTGTTTGAATTGAAGTCTAAAGCTCAGGCATTTTTACTTGACCATCCATTTCATTTGTCCGCTTCTGAATCCGACATCCTGTGGCTCCAACGATTTGCATACTTAGCAAGGTTATCAACACCAAATCTAAAATGGTATCTTGGTAGACTCAAGTGATTGGTCTTGATGTTTGGAGGTCTACCAACAAGCTGTGACAAATCATTTGAAGCCATTGCGGATGAGTGGCCAGCTTTCTTTCCTCCCCATTTCAGTAGCAAAGTATCTGATAATATCAACTTGAGTGTCCCCTTCTTTAGGAATGCTTCCGAACTGTGACAGCTGTTGACATTTTCCAAACAAGTTTGTGAATACATTGTGGGAAAAATATTGTAACACGTTCTTAACTTCGATAGATCCACCACAATTCGAAGTACGTGCCAGCTAGTCAGATAAATCAGCTTTGGAAGTTAATACGGAAGTCTTACTCTGCTCTCATACCTTTATATATATATATATATATATATATATACATACATACTGCAATGTTGTATTTTTTCCTGGATAAGCGTAGTCAACTTTGTCTACAACAGTTACAGAATTGCTGCTGCCATTTTATATATGTATCATAATAAAGAGAATGTTTTCTCTAAGCTGCCCGATTTCAACTGGCTCAGCATGAATAGTTTATCGGTGTTAGTCCATAACATTTTAAGCACGCCATCTCCATTATACTTACTTAGTAAGCTATCTTTTAGGGTGGATGGACATGATGCAAATTTGAGAGGCGTTCATATGTTGTCTCTTCCGCGTCATAAAACTGCTATATTCCAGCATACAATGCTGTTTTGAAGCGTATGAGTTAGGTATGAACTTTAGAAAAAACGAGCTTCCCCAACTAGCATCTTGTTAAAATGGACCACCACCGAAGATCTAGCTACATATATTTGTCAAATTTTAGTATTTACATCCTTGAATGCTGTAGTCAAAAGTTGAATCCTTTGTCAAAAACTGATAACTACGTACAAATTAGAGCCCTAATAGACCTTTGACTAAGAAGGTAAATTAACACACCTCCAAAGTTCTCAAAGGATTCTTGACCTCGAAGACAAATGCAGAAGTTATAGCTAATCTAAAATACGAACCCCCAACGTTAGGTTCTTTTTTGGGCATATTGTTAAGTGAAAATTATCTTATTAATGATAAAATTCCTGTTACGTTTGCAACATAGATTGATAAAAACTTGAGGTACAAGAATCCTTTTAGTAAATGTTCGTCTAGATTTCGACATTGACTCTAACTTTATTTACTTTCACGAACTGTTTGTAAATTTAAATCGAAAGAGCCCTAAGTATTGTAAACGTAGTCACCGGGTTAAACAATAGACTCAGCTATCACGATTTTTTACGAGCGTTCGATAGGAAAATATTGTAGCAATGGTGCATCCCGCTCAATATTTAGAGTATCATAATAGAGAACGTAATTTTGAAGTGATCTTTTCTACTCTCTGGCACGTCTCAGAACCTTTGGAGCAAGCTGAATACGGGATTTTGAAGAACCACACAGTTTAATACCCTATAATCTACAGAACTGTCAAAATCAGACACAAATGCTACTAATGAACACACCCCGATATACCCATTCTCTCTCTCTCTCTCTTTGGATTAGGCAACGACTGTAATTTAAAAAGAGAATGATCCCCGCCAACGACTTTTTTCTATCACATAAAGATAATATGAAGTGGGATTGTAGTATAATTCTCATACTCGTACGTCTTTCCAGCTAGGGCAAATTAATAAATACAGCCTACTTACACCAATCTGAAAAATTTCTTACTGTCAAATTGTTTGTCCAAATTTTTGACGCAATACCCCTGCTAATCTCAATCTTTTTGGGAGGCAGCACTGCACATCCAAGCAATAAAGTTTGAAGTCGATGTTTTCAGTTGATCTGGAAGACAACGCTAGTAGTGATTTCCTATGAGAAGAAAGGCTTGGAGATTGTAACCAAACGAATTTCGTTTGAAATTGAAATTTTACATGTTTTGTCTTTTCGGGGGAATTAACCCAGATACCCCTACCGTCCGTTATAACAATCACCTAATATTTCGCTTCAAATTTGAAACTCTGTCACTCCGCGTTAGATGGCGTTGGGTTATCCGCTGTTAGAAACACGTGTTTAAGCGAGATTTATTGTTCTAACCTCTTAAAGGGAGAGTTCTGTATGCGAGAAAGTGTTTGGAATAACAGGTCCTTAGTTTGTTGTGAACAATGGATAATTATAGGTGAGTATACTGATAAACTATTCATATTATTTTTCCATCTTGTGAATAAGTAATTTTAGAAAACATCAATCTTTATAATTGTAAATAAATAAGTTAAAAATTTGCATCTCACCGGCAAAAATATAACCTCAAATACCGATGTTCGTTTTAACGGACAGTAGGAAAATTCGGTATTCTTCGATTTTTTTTTCTTATATTTGCAGTTATTGGAACTATTGGAAGCGGCCCTTGAAACTTCATGAACTCATGGCAGAAATTGAAAACATTGATGACGATGAGTTGATTCCTGATACTATTGCCGTTCTAAAGCCAGTTAACGCAAATGAATATAACACTGATGAGGATTCCGGCGACGAAAATGAAGTGGATATAAACAACCTCCCTGGAAGTCAGCTGATGACCGAAGTTGAGGTTGTATTTGAAAACAAGGGATCAAACTAAACTACAGTTGAGAGTGATTTTGATAGCGACGATGACCTACCTTTGTCTACCTTTCTTACGAAAAAACGACCAAAATTATCAAAACCAAATTACTCTTGGAAAAAAGGTGACATCAACCAAGACTTTCCAGAATGGGTAAACGCAACTGGTCCAAAAAATTCTTTATCTCCTTTAGAACTATTTTTTCAGTTTATAGATGATGAAATTATTGACTTGGTTGTGAAATATTCCAATATACAGGGTTATCCAAATTAAGTGTCCACCATTAGTAACTTTGTTATTAGTGAAAATACAAAGTTGTTTGAATTAGCAAACTAGTAGCATTTTTAACGCTGGTAAAAATGAGAAATAAAAAAAAAACAATTGAGAGTCGTTATTTTGATTTTTTTCAGTAAAATAACATTTTTTTAAATGGAAACCCCTGTATATTATATTTTTTTCTGTTAAAGCATCAAATTTTAAACAAAAAAGTTCATAATGACTTTTCCGCTAAAGTCAAAAATGGACAGATGAATCAAATTTTTCAAATTGTGGTATGTTTAATAGAAAAAACCACCATTATTGGTCAAGAGAAAATCTTTTGTTAGTACATCCAAGAGGCCCACAAGTCCGTTTCAGTTTCAACGTTTGGTGCGGTATAATTGGTTCAAAAATTGTTGGCCCGTTCTTTTATGAGGGAACCCTAACTGGTGAAAGATATGTGGAATTTATGTCAGAAATTCTGACTAATTTCTTAGACGAATTGGATCTTATAAGTAGACATCATCTGCATTTTCAGCAAGATGGCGCACCTGCCCACAACTCCAGAGGTACTTATCATTTTCTAAGTACTACTTTTAATGATCAGTGGATAGGAACAAATGGCCCAATACAGTGGCCTCCCAGATCACCAGATCTAAACCCACTTGATTACTTCTTGTGGGGTTACTTAAAGAACCAAATTTACAAGCGAAGGTACGATAACCTTGACGCGTTAAAGACTGCAGTTAGGGAAAAGATAACCCAGATAGATGGTAGGACCATACTTAAGACAGTTCGAGCAGTTGAAAAACGTGCCCAAAAATGTATTGAAGAACAAGGTGGTGTTTTCGAGCATCTTCTTTAAAAAAAATTGTTATTGTATTTTGTAAGATTATAAGTTGATGTTGAAAATAAAGTTTGTCGATACAATTTAATTGTTTCAGATTGGAGGCCATAACTTCAACAATTTGTAACCTAGGAGAAAAGTTATTGTAAGCTTTTTTGTTTAAAATTTGATGCTTTAACAGAAAAAAATATAATATACAGGGGTTTCCATTTAAAAAAATGTTATTTTACTGACGACTCTCAATTGTTTTTTTTATTTCTCATTTTTACCAGCGTTAAAAATGCTACTAGTTTGCTAATTCAAACAACTTTGTATTTTCACTATTAGGACACTTAATTTGGATAACCCTGTATATGCTATTCAGCATAATCGCCGAGGTGATATACATTCCAGTGAAATAAAATGTTTCATTGGTGTATTACTGCTCTCTGGATACAACTCATTTCCTCGACGGTCAATGTATTGGGAAAATAACAGTGACGCAGGAAATAAGTTAGTCTATTCGGCGCTTTCTCGAGATCGCTTTAGCTTTATAATGCAGAATTTGCACCTGAATGATAACAACAATCTTGAAAATACCGATAAGTTTTCGAAACTGAGGCCCTTGTTTTCTACTCTGAATGAGAAATTTCAGTCATTTGCGCCCCTTGAAGAGTGCCATAGCGTGGACGAGTCGATGGTACCCTATTACGGCGGTCACGGATCAAAACAGTTCATCCGAGGAAAGCCCATTCGTTGGGGTTATAAGGTATGGGTGGGAACAACTAAAAAGGGGTACATTGAATGGTTTGAGCCGTATCCGGTCCACAACTATTATTTCTGAAAAATATCGTCCTCTTGGCTTAGGGGCTAGTGTTGTACTTCAGTTTGCTGATATTATTCAGTCTCAATGTGAAAAAGCTCCTTTCCATATCTTTTGTGACAATTTTTACGTCATTACCTCTGTTGGCTGAGCTGACATCCAGGGGGCTCAAATGCACAGGAACTCTGCGAGAAAACAGACTATCAGATTGCCCTCTTGAAAAATCCAGTATGTTCAAGAAAAAATCCCGTGGTAGTTTTGAATATCTTTTGGAGGAGAACCAAAATAATATTGTATGTAAATGGAATGACAATAGTGTAGTTACAATCGCCTCAAATGTAACATCTCCTTTTCCGACACAACAAGTCAAACGCTTCTCTCAGAAAGAAAAGAAAATGATACATGTTGAACAGCCATGTTTGATCAAACAATACAATGAAAACATGGGCAGTGTTGATAGGGCTGGCCAAAATATAAGCCTTTACCGCGTAGGAATCAGGGGAAAGAAGTGGTATTTTTGCTTGTTTTCACATGCTCTGAATATGGCAGAACAAAACGCATGGCAACTTCATAAACATTCTGGCGGAAAAATGGACCATTTGCGGTTTAGGAGGTGTATTGCTGCGGGATTATTAGAAACTTATAAGAAAGAAACAAAACGGGGGCCATCTAAACCAGGCAAATACCTGCATTATGAGTCCAGATATGATCGGATGGATCATCTTGTGAATTATCAGGAAAAGCAAACCAGCTGCGCATTTTGCCACAAACAAGCAGCATTCAGATGCCAGAAGTGTGATGTTGCACTTCATCCAAAAATGCGTTTTTTAAGTTACCATACTAAAAACTAATCTATTATTATTGGTTTAAAAAATTTGTTTCGTTTCTAAATAAAGTTTTATAAGTTCATAAGAATATTGAGTTTTAGTACCTTATATTGCTACCGTACGTTTAAACCGACGGCTTTTACAGAAAAAACTAAAAGCGGAACTAAAAAATTTTACGGGGAAATATGTTTATATTAACCCAATTAATAGGTTTACAAAAGTATATAACAAAAAACAAGCATTAAGAGTTTCAGGGGTATCTGGGTTAATAAATTGCAAATTGTGAGTGCTCGACTTAAAGATATAAATAGCTTCTCATCTCTTTGAAAATACTTCGATGAAAATTATTATAGTTAATCTAAGGAATATATTCCTGGCAGGATTATAATGTCTTCTATCCTTAAAACACAATTCTTTACGGAGGCATGCTACATAAAATATGAAAACTAGACAAATTAAGCTAACAAACGTTTAATTTACCGGAACAACTTCAACTCAGTGCAGGTTCAGGTAAAACTACATCTCCATCTAATTAACAAAGTCAAAATGAGGAAGTTTGAATGGAAACGAAATGGAAAGACAACATAGCAGGAAATTTGAAATTACGAGCAACAAGCTGGTGCGCAAACTTGGATGGTTTTTTGCAAAAAGTTTCTCCTCGCTACTTTCAACGTTAATTGAACGAGTATAATTGGCACAATTTACCTTCCACTAGAGGGCGAGTACAAAAGAATTATTGTTGCAGAAATAATTGCTTTGAGGACCGAATGAGTCGGAATGGGACACTAATTGTTCCGAGATTCTTCGAAACAGAAACGATGCTGTTAGTTTTTACAAAAAAAGCTAGCTAGAGTTCGCACGAATCAGTTCAGCGAACACAATATTCTTTGCCGCATTAATCAGGCAGAAGGTCAGTTTTTAATGTGCGAGTTGTCGATAACAACATCGTGATACAGGAAGTACAAAAAAATCAAAGTTCCAGACATAGCTGAAAAATATTCCAACCCTTGCAAGGTCATCCATACAACTGTAGTAAAGGGAACCGATTATGTTTGAAATAATTACATACCTATGGTGATAAGCAAGAGAATTGAAAAATTGGTATTAAGATGAAACGGTTAAAAATTGGCGACTCCAGATGTTGTGTATACGAATGGTGATATGATATTTCTAAACTCGAAACTACACACTTCTATTACACTTGTATACGGAACCAACTAACTCACCAATATCATAATATGTTTGGCAAAAAGACTGAGTTACTTTTAAACATTTTTGGTTAGTGTTCACCAGCCCTCATCAATCATTTATCACTCGTATCCAACTATTTAAAAATACAATTTCAAAATAGGCCACCGCGGTCAATATTGAAGACTTCTCGGGTTACTAGGGAAAAAATGTTTTTTCTTATAAGCACTGAAGAGGGAAAACTACGAAGGGACTTTCCCATTTATGAAATATTCATATTTTAACAACATCTAATGATGATTCATATCGTAACACAGATAGTGTTACTGCCCTGATAAATGGAGGTACTCCCAGTACAATCAGTTACTTTCCAATGAAAATAGCGCATGCTGATGTATTGGTTTGTCAATTTACTAGGAAAATCTATCCAAACGGATTCGATAGATCACCAAAATGGCTGAACAAATCTTGACGAAACTTGGTACAGAGATACGTATATAATAGTCTGGAAGAACAAAGCCCACCTTTTATCCAGGGATATAAAACTGAAATATCTATTCCATGGACGACTGAATAGAATTTGTTATGAGATGGCGCGGAAGCTTTCAGTCGCCTTTCCAACCAAAATAAGTAAGGATATATTTTTTTGATGTTTTCTTTTACTTGCATAATATTGTGAATAAATAGCCAGTGATTATTTCTCATACAATTTTTAATGCTGCTAGGCGGGTAAGGTAAATTTATGTTATCCAGCAAACTCTAATGCTGTGTCGTTCGGTGAATTCTAATTCTTCTCTACATTGTATAAAAATGCAATTATCTATCCGGTCTGTCATCATCATGTCTAAGCCACAATAGGCAGAGACGTAAAAATATGTACACTTACTAGCTAATACCCGAGGCAGGTTGTAGGCAAGGTTTTATCTGCGAAATAGCCGTTGATTTTGGAAATAGATTTAACAATATTCAACTGCCGTGACAAGTACCAAAATCTTCACCGTCACCGTCAATCCGGCAACAGCGCGTCCAGCTAACGCCTCACTCAACCTGTGACCGTCCAGCGCCACAGATGTTTCATTTTGCTGCAGTTTTTGCCCGCAACTTCGTACGCTTGAAACTGTTTCTAGGCAGACCCGCGAGGAGAAAGCTAGTGTTTTCAATAATGTTTATTGATTAAAAACATTATTCGTGAAACAAAAATGCTACTGTGGTCATTATTCCACATCCTTCCACAACTCTTCCATGATATATTTGCACCCTCCTTACCTTTT